CTAAAAAAAAGAGCTTCATGGTGTTCTGCAGAGCATACAGACAAGCCTGAGATGATATACAGCATTGTAAGGTTTTATTGACGTTTGCCTAAGATGATCTATCTAAGTCACTCTTAGATATTCAACCTTCCCAAAGTCATGCCAGGAAAACGTTTATGCTACATCATCATCTATTCTCTATTGTACCTCCACATGCAGACACACACATTATATACCTTCAATTACATTAAAACTATTTATACAATAAATCACAGTTGAAGCTATACCTTATTTTTTCAAACACCCAAGTTAAATTTACATATTAATGGTTGCATATTTGGCTTTAATAGATGCACTATTAGAAAATAAACATAATAAATGAATAACCATTTTAGCATGGAGTCACCTATCTTGATGAAAAATATCTGAAAATGCAGCAACCAGGGAATCTATTTAATTTTATTTGAAAATAACGCTAGTCACCGACTAAGAAGATAAATAGAAATTATATGGAGTAGCATACTAATGATGGATCAGACAGACCCACCCTGTGCAGTGAATGCCATAAGATCAAACTGGTTGAAATGGATGGTATATACTCTAGATGCTCTCCTTCTCAAGTATGGAGTAAAGGATATAGACTAGGATGGTTTAATTTGCTAAAGTTTCCCCTTACACTTGACAGTGCATTTTATTTTCAGCATCTTCTAAAGCTTCAGGATAAGCTCTGTGTTTCCCAGCAACAATCAGGCTTATGCACAGGAAAGATGCACAGAGATGATTACTGTCCCTGAAAACTGAAAAGCGCACAGTAAGGTAGAAAAGTTGGACTGTCTAATGGTGTGAACAAGAGGGCTCACATACACAGCAAACAGTGCAAACTGGGCTACTGCGGAAATCCTTTGTCATTAGAGCAGGAGCTTAATTCCTACAGCACACTGAGCAAAGGCAAGGCCCAGCCTTCGCTATCTTGCACAAGAGGAAGAGGAGCCTGCTTTGATTTCCTTTCCAGTACAATGAACCACTTCTTTCCACGCAACTACATCTTTTTGATTATTTTGATCATCCCTGCTATCCTCGACTGTTCACTTTTCAAAGCAGAGAGTATCCTGGATTAGGATGGCATACACCATTCTGGCTACAACTGTGCAGAAGATGAACAGTGTCAATTCAAGTTGTTTGTCAAGTCTCCTCACACCACTTCCAAAGCCTCAGGTCTCCCAGCAGTGCTGCTCCAGGAGCTTCTTCTCTTCTGTAGCCATTAAAATGATCCTGCTTAGAAAGTCTATTTTTTGAGTTTTGTAGCTACCAGGTAATTATAAAGGAATTTAATTTTGAGGGACTGTGTGTCCCAGCAGACACTAGGAAGAAGCAGACCTTGGAGATGATGGAAGGGGGTGATAAAAAATAGGTGGTGCTAGGTTTATTGCAGATATTGCAGAATATTACAGATAATGCAGAAATCAAGAAGACAGTAACTCCTATAATCTCACAGAGGGAGTCTGTAGTTTTGCTAGAAATCTGATCCAGTTTCCTTCAGTACCACTGCCAGAACAGCCATAATCATGCTTCTGCTTGACCTCAGTGCAGGCCACAAGGCTCCTGAGCAATTGAAATAAATAACTATTTAAAACAACAGCAGCCAGAGACACTGGCAGCATCAAATGGAAGTGACTTTGTGAAGGGAGAACACACCAGGAGTCACTCGACATGATGTGTCACTTGCTTGCTTTGGCAGCAAAATGATGGAGGCTTCAGGATCCATCCTGCTGCCAGAGACCTTTCTTCTTAATCAACACCTCTGGGCTCACCACACTACCACTGAACTGTGAGCGCCTTTCTTCTCTAAATGTCATTTCATTTTTGTATGTTTCCTTGAGACTTGACAGCCCATGGATTTTTTTTTTTTTTTTTTTTGTAAGAGTGCTGGTTCAGCATGAATCAGAAAACGATTACATGGAACTGTGCTCAGGGCCCTGACAAACAGAGACATAACACAGCAGACTAGGTCGGAACCGAGCCATTTGTTTCATTCCATTGTGCCTTGCAGGCTCTTGGTCCTTCCTGCCCTGCCCATCCTCAGTGTTTTGTTTTACGCCTGAGCAGAAGCCCTACACAGACAATTGAAAGAAAGTTACTAGACGCTGATCTCCACACTACTGTGACTTGTGTCAAACTATAGCTGAAGTGATTTGCTAATCCAAATCCAGGCAATAATCTGATCTGTGGGGAGAAGCACTCTAACACTGCTGTGCTGAGTGGCACAGTGGTATAAACACTGTCAGCTTTTCCCAGCAGCTTTTTGACCTACTGAAGCCTGCACACATGTACTGAGCAACTGATGACAAAGGGAAAAGTCTGACACATTCAGGCTGTTAAAAGGCATAAAACATATAGTCTAAGTCCCAAGAAAATGCTCCAATTAAATGCAATTTTTGAGCAAGAGTATATTTAGCCCAGCTAAAGGTTACTGCTATGCCATGTGGACTTCACGTATTTGAAGAACATTTTAAAGAAGAGAAAGAAAAATATTTATGTTGGTGGATCATATTCAGACTATAAGAAAGGATTTGGGGGAGTACCAAAAAGTTGACAGGTCACTCTCAGTTAATCACATAAAGGATGGACTTTTACCGGGACCTTCTGAGCCACAGGATTCAATTTCTGTCATGAAAGGCTCTCAAAACACTTGGTCTGTCTTTGTTCAGTTCAGTCAGGCTGAAAAGTACTGCATGGCCTTGCATGCAGAAAATCTGACACTTTTAAAATATCCATTGAGATTTCTTACAACATCAACACTATAGAAGACAGGCTAAAAGTTTTCTTTCAAATATCATATTAATAAACCATGTGATTCATTAATTATAACTCTTTAGCAAGCAGACAGGAACGAGAGGTCTGCTAACTTGGTTTTACAGCATACCTGAAAAATAACATAGAACAGGAAAAAAAAATTCAGATCTTATGGTAGTACTGAAGAGTATTTAATAGTATTTTCACCTGAAGGGTCATTAACCCTTTAAAAGGCAATGCCAGTACATACTAGAAGTATGTTCAGCACAGAGCTTGAAAAAGCTCAATGTAGGGTACCAGATGACAGCTGGATATAGACTTGCTTTCAAACAAAAACCCAGGCTTGCCTCCATTCTCTTATATTCAGATACAGAACTGAAAAATGTAAACTAAGAGTTGGGGAGAATTACCAAAACTGAAGATGAAACATCCAAGTTGAGTAGGTGTATGTAGGTGTTAAAAGGGAAAGGGGCAAAAATTAAAAAAAAAAAAAAAGAGAAATTATAATTTAAAAGTCCCTAAGCAGTACTTGATATCAGAGAAAAAAAATCTGTTTCTAAAACATTGGCCATATTCTCTCTTTAGAAGAGAAAAAGAACCAAAACTAAGGCTACCAAACAGCACCAATTAAAAAAAAAATCACATTCAGCTTCCTAGAAATGATGTACTTTCCTCTGAGCTTATTCACAGTAACCTGTGCCTTTGCCATCTTCAGATTGCTTCACTACACGTAAAACTGAACATGAAAACTACATGCAGCTTAGAGAAGTCAGACACCCAGCCCTCTCTTTGACTCAGCTTCAATGTCAGTCCATAACATTCCAACAATCTGGGCCTTTCCCCAAAAGCCCAATCTACTGCTAATATCAGTTGGAAGCTTGGATCCAGAGTTTTAAAGCAAGCAAGAAATCTCATCTTAGCTCCATCAGATTGCAATCTCTAAAGAAAGCCACAAAGGAGCAAAGCCAATCAGAAAGGGACTGAAACGGAGACTTGAGCATTTTTTATTGAAAAGAGCAATAAACATTCTGTAGGAGATCAAGGAAATGTACAAGCAGACATACCTTCAGAACAGTGGCAAAAACCTGTCTTTCTGTAAGATAACTAACTACAAGCTGAATGCACTACTGCCAGTTATCACCAAATAAACAAATAAAAAAAACCCAATCAACCAAAAAAATTCCTTACACCTCTACCCATACCAAAAAAGCCAAAATTATCCCCCAAACTTATCTCAAACAGTATTTTGATGCTACCAAACAAGATATGCAAGAATTGCCATGAATTAAAAACAAATGCATGGGTGCTGCTACTCATATGGAGACTACTCAAATGTCACCTATCACTGTTGATTTCCCCTTTAATAATTACACTTCTTAAAAAAACATAATCAAGTTGTACACAAAGAAAACAAACTGAATGGTAAAAGGCAGCTGCAAAATGTATTTTACTGCTTTAGCATTTCAGACTTCATCAAGCATCTATGTCAGCTCAACTCCCCCAAAGGCCAGCTGACACCACCTGACTTGAACCTCCCCATGCTCCTGCTGAAGAGTATGATGGAAGCAGTATTTCCACTCAATCCAGTCATGCCTGGTTGCTTCGTAAGTACAAAAAGCAAGACAGGGCTGCTAACCACAAAAATCACCACAGTAGAGGAGTTACAAAACAAATACAAGCTGAGCCTGCACTCTCCCCTCCAACGCCAGGAGAAAAGAGCTGACAGTGAAGATGGCAAGGCACATCCACAAAGAACTTGCCAAAGGTCAACACTGCAATTCACATTGACATCAATGATTGTAGAGTGAAAACAATGGGAAAATTTGAGAATGTGTTATGATCTTTGAATGCTTTGTGTCAGACACATATTTAAAATGAAATAGAATCACAAACACAACTCAAGGACATAATCAAGCCATAATATAACCAAACCACAGGCCTAAATCAATCCCTATTCTGGATATATTTAAAAGCTGAATATGTGCTTAAGCACTTCTCAGAACAGGGATGTTGACTGGGTATCAGCAGGAGCATACAATATTGTCTGGTTGAAAAAAATGTTATTATCAAAAGCTGGATTTTACTGCAGTACATGAGAGAATCATGATAGATGTAAAGCTGTTGCTTTCAAACATAATCTTTTAATGACACAGAATTTTAATTATGTGATATTTACTAGGGATGCACATACATCACAGTAAATTATTATTGTATATATTTTATTTTACCTGGAACTTTACTTTTTGCCAAATGTGAGGCCCAATAAATTGTTTCAAGAAGCGTTCATCTTCACTCCAGAACAGTCGGATGTCAGGGATATTGTACAGGATCATGGCCAGCCTCTCCAAACCCAAGCCAAATGCCCAGCCAATTTTATCCTGAGCACCAGCTGCAATAAACAAGATAAAAATTCAAGAGTTTAAGTTCACAACATGGAAAATTACTGATAAAATGTTCACCTATTTATTAAGAAGGAATAACGAAAAAGGTGAAATAGCAAACCAGAAAATCTTACAAGTGCTAAATGAATGATCTAAAGGCTACAGGACAGATCCCACTTAAATCAAAAACTGCAGCAAGACTGAGCACATCACTGAGTTCAGGAACCAAAAATGGCAATAAAACAAAGCCACAGCCTTGAAAATTTGTGTCCAAAGTTTCAGACAGGCTTGAGAAATGGTGCATAATGCTATACATCACTACCCTTCACTCTGCTTAGAGCTGAGCATTTCCTCACTTGACTCTGCTGTGTTTCGTAAGACACATAAACATGAATTCCCTGTTCAGAGTATTTTCCTTGGTCTGACAGACCAAGTCAAGCCTACAGAGCATTAACATCATTACCAACATTTCAAAATACCATAATTGCCTCTTTTGAGGCTTCTGGAAGAAACAGAGCAATGGGATGTGAGGCACTGTTACATTAGCATCACACCTCCAACGAGGGAAATCCTGAGCTGCTGTTCCTGGGAAAAGCCACTGCTCTCACATTAACAAGTCTCTTTTATGCAGCACTAAATATAAAAGGACAAGAATATTTAATAAAGAAAAGCTGCACAGATATTAATGATGCAACATTTCTGTCAGGAAAGTAAATATTCATACCTTCCTTCATTTATAGGGCAGGAGCACTGACTCATGCAAACAGGGATCTTTTCAACACAAAAAACTACGTCTATGTTTAGCCATCAGCCTACTGATTTTGCAATAAGCTGAGAGCCCAGAAGCCCTGGCAAAGGCTCAGAGCTTTTAAAAACTTAAACAAATGCCTAAACAAACACACATGCTGAAAGGATGTGTGCATGCGTGACAGACTTGACTTCACACCATCAACACTTGCAGAGTGCTCCTCAGTCACACAACATCACTGCACATCCGCACCAGGGCCAGCAGCCCCTCCAGAATCAGTTTAAACTAATTTTTTGGAAACTTCGAACTCAGTAACTTTCCCATCTTCATGCAGGAGGTTGGAAGCACAAGTCTTCTTTCTGACCCTTGCTTCTGCTATCAGAAAGGAAACAGCTCCCATTGTTTAGGCACTGATGACAGACATCCTGAGTTACCCTGTTGTGTTCATTGCTGAGACTAAACAGGCCTCAGTTCTGTTCAAATAAAGGGAGGCATACCAAGCTTGGGAAAAGAGACACACTCGCAACTTCAATTCCATTAATTCACTTGAACATGCCTATTTTACTGGAATAACAGCAGAACCCCTCTGTGTCTCACCTCAGCAGTATTGTGCTGCCACAGGAGTTACATCAACTTGTAAGGGTACTTCATAGAGGAGTCAGGATATTCTGCCTGACCCTTCTCAGGTGCTCAAAGGCAAGATTTTGCACTTTTTGACATTTGAAAGCAGACAGTTCATCAGCTCACCTTTGGAAGTCCTAGGAAATAGAGGACTGGGTGCGAACTCAAAAGGTACCTCATGGCAGAGGCTGCTGAAAACAGTGCTTGGACCAACCAGCAGACTGAGCTAATCTGACTCTGGAAACCTGCAATCCACACTATATTATGTGAAGAACTGCACAACTCGCTTCTGCTGATTTTTAGGGAAAGCAAAGCGACTACAAAGAACATATTGAAATTTGTATTTGGAAGGGATTTTGAACTTCGACTTTGAGTGTAAACCATAAACTGTTTCTCTTCCATTCTGAGTATACTACTTCTCTCCATACACCAGTAATTAAAGTAATTACATTTGTATGGCTGTGAAAAAGGGAATGTAATTCATTGCAATGGTGTTGCTTTTTCAAATTTGCAGCTTGCCTTTCCTAGATCAGCAACTCCTCCCTCAGTGCCAGAGCTCCTATTCATTCCACAAGTACCAGATTTTCACATACATATGGGCATTTCTGTAGACCAACCCTCTCCTCCAGATGTAAAGTAAAGCACCAGGAGCAATATCCATGAGGGTTCTGAATGGTCACTGCTTACTCTCAACTGAGGCATTAAACCTGAAAGCTAAAGATGCCAGATTAAGCATTAGCAATTCACAGATGCTCAGTGAAGTACACAGGATGGGGGTGATGGTCCTCCCTCCCCACACTAGTGATGATCACTGGTAGAGCAGACAGGGAAAAAAAGAGATATGACAGAAGAACAGGTGTATATTCTGATTAGCAGAGCTTTACATTTAGAACTTTTTTTTTATTATATTGATGTGAGAATGGTTTTCACTGTAACACGTTTTTCCTCAGTGATTTGCTATGAACTTGAACTCTGCAATGAATGTCTTGATTTTATACCAGCAACTTCTTTTCTGTTCTGGTTTTCTTGATTGGTTTATTGGGTTTTTTTTAGAAGGACTGGGACCCATCATGGTTTTTTACTCATAGCAGACAAAGAAATTCTGCTATCTGCCTAGCAGCTCAGAGCATTGTCAACTGAGCTACGATTAAACACCTATTCACCAAACTGAACTTGTCTTTTGGATGATCTTTGTACAATTATCAGCCTTCAAACTTCTCAAATGTCCCCAGTGGAAGCTGTATCAGTGAAGAATTACCTCTACTCAGACAAAATAAATGAAAGAAGAAGAAAAATTCGGATTATTAAAATTCCTCCTCAAATCAGCACTAGCAAATCTCTGCACTCTGAATCTTCAGTTATTTTGTCTCTGACCTCTTCTCCAACTTTCTATTCGTAAAGCTCCAAGTCAATACAGCATTCACTTAAGTCATTTGAACAACTGCCTTGGTGGATTCAACAAGATTAATGCATGCTTCTAAACATATTTCTGACTGGAAATTATCAGGTGACTTAGAAATCAAATGAGCCAGTAATCATCCTGTAGAGTGAGGGAGCAACCTATAGCTTTCCCAACACAAATACACGTTTAAATGCACCAAATTTCAGCAAGTATTATGCAAAGAAGTCAAAAGAATTTGAGTCAGCAAGACAGGAAAAGTGAACACATAACAGTGTTAAATATGGCAAAAAGCAAGTTGAGGTTCTGATGAGGAGACATGGCCAAAGCAGCAGATTCCAGGGACCTGGCGGGACAATCGTAGCATCACTGCTTGAAGCAACACAGCCCAACAGATAAAGCTTTCCTGACACGTGAGCTTTCCCCAACTGGCCATCAAAGGTTTTTATGCTGCCAGGCTCCTGCTGCCTCACTTGAAAAATCTGACCCCCCACCCGAAGAAAATTGCTTGAAGCTTTGCTTGTCAGGTAGCCAAAGATGGGGGAGGAAAGGATAAAACAGTTTGAGTGGCTTCCCAAACTGGGAGCTAGGACAGCCCAAATCTGATGTCAGAAGGTTGCATCATTGCAGTTCTGTCTTACAGAGAAGCTCAAGAATCCTTATCTTCCTTGGTACGTCATATCTATTTATCCTGGACTACTTTAGCTTCAAGCCCAGGTGAATCAGTTTACATGTAACATAGACCAAGCAAGTCATTCTCCAAAAAGCAATGTTAAACAAAAGTTAAATTTGCTCAGTCAGGATGGGAATCTTCCCAATTATTCACTAAGGCATAAATAATGACCTGCCAGAATTAATGGATTATATTGCCCTGAATCCTCAGAAAAAAACACAGACAGAAACACTCACCCTCTCAAGAAGTGTGGGGCAAGACATTCTGCTCTGTACAACAATTTTAAGACATAATTTGCAACATAATTTTACTAACAGGTTGATAAAACCTTTTTGGTTTACATTCCAGTCATACTTATTTTTATATTGATACTGGCTTTTATTTAAGAATTTTTGCTACTTCTGTAGAACTGCCAATAAAGAAATCTTTCTCTCAATAGACCCTAAATTGGGTCTTCAAGTTGTCATACTCAGCAGTTACTGAGAAGTGAAAGAAATTAAATTTTTATCTTGGATCGAGGCAAAATAATGAATACACAATAGCCTGCATAGAAGGTGATCTTCACAAAATGCACAAAAATTAATATATCCAAAGTATGAGCAGCTGAAATCTGGGATGAGTTCCAGAAGCAAAGACCTGAATTTGATCTCCTTCTTTCAGTCCAAACTATGACTGTTAATGGAGCCTGTTCTAGAACTAAAATGGTGGGAAGAGGGGTGAAGAGATTCTCAAGGACACATGGATTACACATCATGTTTTACAAAACAAATCAGCTTTCAACTGTACAGAAAGAAGTTATAGACATAATGAACATGTGACTTGACACGAAACATCACAAATTCTGGAAACAAATGCCAAGGCCCACATTTGAGTGATTATGTGGTTAATGGATAGCTTACCAATAAGGCTTTGAAAAACAGGTTCTGCAAAACAAATATTTACTTATTTCTAGAGACTAGGAATGCATAGTCTACATATCTGCCACAGTAATGAGGCAAACATGTTTACTGTGTTAAAAGTAAGTAATTTTAAATTATTTCCTTATTATTTCCATAAATTATTTCAGCTAAAACTCACATATGTTGGGAGTAAAAATTTTACATGGAAAAAAAGTAATACTGAGGTATCAATCTAATAGAGAAGAGCTTCTGAAACTGCAAGGTCATGTGGCTGGGATGTTAAGCAACTGAGGCCAAACAGCTTATCCAAATTTTCTCTGAACACCTCTCCAGTGAAAGCAAAAATCAAAACCATCAGTGTTCTCTTGTAACTCAGTTAAATTGATGCATTCAGACTTCTGTGTGCAACTCAGCTTAAATTGCACCCTAAAATGAGGACTTGGCATTCAGACTATGCATGCTAAGAAAGCCACTCTTCAAGAACTCAAGAAAAGAAGTGAATATTCACTTATGCCCATTTTATGTAAAGAGAACTTATCTTTCTAAATCTCATGTGTGGAATATTTTTCTAACAATAATAGTCACTTTGAGACCAAGGCTATGTCTCCTGGGTCAGACTGATCTGTTCTGTTCCCTTAATTTGAAAACTAAGCAAAAGAACTTTAAAG